CTCAAAAATCTCGAGATATTCAGCAGAAGCAGCAGACCAGATATGGTAGTAATATTCAATGCACGGAAGAATCGTAGATTTATAAATATGCAAGAGGGAATCTGACGAGAGATATTTTGTGGCACGACACACAGAACCAACCTTCTTAGTAGTAAAAGTAACAATTGCTATCTACTCCACTTCATATCAGTAGATTTCAGTTGAGCTCAAGAAGGCGTAGAATGTTGTTCTCTTAGAGTTTAGCATCAGCCATACCGATGACAGATAGGAGAAGTTCTCTGTGGTGATTAAATGAAAGCAGTTTTGCTTTGATGGCTTTGAAATTTACAAGCCACTTTTTACCTCAGTTAACCACTGATTTGAAGTCCATTTAGAGAGCGGCTGCCAGGATTACTTTGTCGGATGTGTCGGACTTAATACTAAGACAGGAGTAAATAGTTGTGTCTTCTGCATAAATACCTAGTTAGGAATTGGGGACATCAAGAATGTTGTTGAAGATCAGAAACAGTGTAGGTCCAAGGACAGAGCGCAGGAAACCTCCGCCTTAGCATAAATTTCTGTCCTCTGTCAGAAAATTTCTCATATATTTAAATTTCCGCACCTGCTTGATTTTAGTGCCCCCGACCTGTAAATTGCATTTTGTGCTCAATCTTCAGAAATGCCAACATACAGATTGTCTATTCTGGGTTCAACAAATATCACCTGAAGCTGGCCAGAGCGTACAACAGTCGAAACGTTTTGAATGTAACAACTAAGATGAGGACAATAGTTCAAACATGCATTCTGTATTCTTGTAGTTTATTCTTAGTCCCTTCTTCTCGGTCTCCTTCGCTACCTTCCGTAGGAGGTTTTGTAGTTTCCTTTCAGTGTCTGCTATCCGCACAGTGTCATCTGCGTATATTATGCTGTTAAGATTGGCCGCCAATGATGAAACCTGGTAGGATTTCCTGTTAAGAATAGCTTCGCTGTATAGCTTGAATAAGTCCGGTGAGAAGACACATCCTTGTCTTACACCCCTTTCTATTTTTGTATATCTGCTGAACTCATTTTTTTTGTAACACTTTCTAGGAGAGAACGACCCGATGACCACACTACGTATCTACGAGTTCGACCCCACCCTCTACAGGTTGGAGACAACCTCGCGACAGACGACGCAGCCGTTCGTTCGCCAGTACCTCCAGTTGATCCATCTGATGCATCGTAGATTTGGAGGGTAAGTTAGTTCTCGTGTGCTAATTCCTTCATGGTATGAGATTTAAGTAGCTATATTTGTAGACTTATTTTTGCATTTTCTATGTTAATATATCGGCCATTGTTCTCGCTAAGCGTCTAGATTTTTAGAAGAAATTAGGGTTTACCAATATAAAATTATATATTTTCTCTCGTATCCTGTATCATCTTTTCGTCGACCTTGGTCGGAAATCCATAAAAAATCTACTGTCTGTTTCTTGGCCTTTATCCGTCATTAGTTGGCCGATGTTTGAGCTAGGCGTACAACACTATTTTCCATGAGGAGGATCCCACAGTTTGACTTTGTAGATAATTCCCTCACTCTCCTGAATATCATAACCTTCTAACTGCAATAGTTGTTTTTATTTTTGGTAGATAACAGCATAGGCTTGCATTAGTAATGTACTGATACCATTTAGTATTTTGTATTGTTCTAAGCATTTTTGTGTACGAAGTCTGTCACAAACGATTTATCTCAATTCTAAACAGTAAACTACATGGTTTTCCCCTTCAAAGTAATCCCCCTAGAGTGCATTTTCCCATCCTTCCGTGCCATGCTTCTATGCAATGCTGAAAGGATTATTCTTGGTCGTTACGGCCATCTTGATGACGTCAACGCTTTCAAAACGGGTCCCTTTGATGATCTAATTGAGGAAAAGAAAGAAAGTCTCATGGACAAGATCATGTGAATAGAGAAGTTATTCCAGTACGGCAACGGTCTTCTCGGCCAGTAACTGCCGGATGCAGGTGCATATGTCGTGGTGAAGTAGCAACGATTTGTCCAGCCGCATTCTCGCATATGGAAAAATAAACGCAATGGTTGCAGAAAGCTAAGATTACATCGATATACTTCCAAGATATCATTTTAGGTGATAACACAATCCTCTTATCCCTAATTTGCTCATCATAGATAGCACAGCACAGTCAGTCCTGTTACTTTTTAGACAGGCATCGTAAGCTTCTTACTGAGGGCAGCAGTGTAAGTTCATGTGCCTGATCCATATACTAAAACTGTCATTACAGTAGCTCTATAGAACTCAAATTTATGGTTCCTTCACAGTGATGACTTCTACACATTTTCATCATTTCGAATGCAGTCCATACTTTCGTAATCCTGAGCTCGATCTCATTAGAACGCTCATCTCCTTCAGTCAATTATGTGCCATGCGTGATACACGCTTAGGCAATCATGTATCAGTCATGTATCTTTTGATACATGACTGACGAGGCAGATTTTTTCCCGCAGTAGGTTGCCATTTCTTTCTGCGGTAGACCAGTCTGTCCTGTTATTTACCTATAGCTGGGAGGAGAAAAAGAGGATTCGTACCTTTCCCAAGGGTATTAGCACATAAGTGAATGTAATGGATTCGACAGAAATTCGAACTCGGCTCTCCGATTCCTCAACCCGAGCCATTGCTATCCATTGATCCACCGTTTACTGAGCGATAGAGACCTAGTCTTTTTTTTTTTTTTTATAATTTTTAACTTTATATTTTAAATTTTATATAAATATCTTAAATTTAAGAAGAGTTTTTTTTATGCATTTATAACTATTTTTAGCACTTTGTCTAACTGCTTACACACAAACACATGCAAACATTTCATTTAAAGTCATATTTTTCCCTGTAAGTATCTTTCTTCTTCTTTTTTTTTTACAAGGAATTGAACCTCTATTCTTGAAGCCTCTTGTTCAATGCCTTCTATGACCAAAACGCTATCAATCCCAGGCATTTGTCTTTCAAAACTCGTATCCTCTTATGAGCAGCTGGTAGCGTCAGACATAATGATCTGAAAATAGACAGACTGCCCCAAAATGACAGTAATGGATTTTAGAGACTTTATTAGCCATTAATTTTGTTTGCAATTTTTTTTTTATTGCTGGTGTTTTTTTTTTCTGTCTTCAAATTGCCTTCCCCAACCGTGTGTGGCACACGCATCCTCTCAAAGACGTTATACGCATGCACCGAGTTTACACGCATGCGTGCTCGCGGCCAGCCAATTAAATTTGTAATATATACTCTTTCGAAAATGAAAGTATTTTCTAAGATAACTGCATATCGCAAAATGTATGTAATCTAATCTTGACTTTATCTTTTTACTTTTTAGATCTATTATTAATATTTTGAAGACAATCTTCATTACTGTTTCGTTTTTAGCAATGTATTATAATTAATATTAGAGATTCAGCTATTATATAGTAAGTGCTTGTCACTGGTAGTTATCTTATTTTCATGACTAATTCTAATTTATTGAGGCTAGCATAATATAGCCATGCTTGATCGTCGCCATTATGACAATTATTATAATAATCATCAATAGTATTATCGTTATTAGCTCAAATAACGATTATTTATAACATATTTTCTTATAATGATCTTAAGGTGTAATAACTGCAATAAAAAAAATTAGTTGTAATCTTAGCTAAGTTATTTATGATTAATCATAGCTGTTATCATTATTAGATTACCTCAGTTAATCGTCACTACATTGTTTATGATTAATCATAGCTAATCTCAGATTATTCATAATTAATTGAAACTATTCTTAGCAAGATAATTTATGATCGATCTTAGCTACTTTTTCTAATATTAGTGGTTAATATACACATACATATATATATATACCTAAAATATATAAATATATATACACATACATATACATACATATATATATATATATATATATGTGTGTGTGAAAAAAATAAAATTCCAAGAGGATAAAATCCAGGTAGAATTCAATGTCCAGGACAGAGTAAGGATATAATAAAAAGGCTTAAACACTAATATTCCATGGTCATAATTTATTACATTAGAATCGTAAATACGATCCAATTCATCAGACCTACAAATAGCGACCAGCCACAAAGACTTCAACGATGCAACAAGCTGATAATGAATACAACATATCTAAACTGTAGAACCAGCAGATAAAGAAGGGCTACGCCTATAGGACATGCTGCAGAAAGCGCCATTCGAAATTATAAGAAAGTCAGCGTCAGGCGGTTGTGGTTTCATAACTGGATCCTTCATGTTTCATTCCATATGTGCCGCAGAGGAAGGTCATGAAATCAAGTGTGTGGTTCACTTCCTGGCAAATTTAGTCCTATCTTAAACGGCATTTTTTCTACTCTGATTTTCTTTCACAATCAACCAACTCTTGCAAAGCCAAACGGCAATAAGGAATGGATGAAGCGAGCAAGTTTTGGTGGAAATGGAAGCTTCTACTCATGAACCTGCACGTTGTCGGTGAATGTAGTCATCAACACCATCATCATATGGAAGTGATTAGCGCGAGAAACAGCAAATAACCAACTGGACGAGGTTGTGTAAATGAATGGCAGAATGGCGATTAGGAATGAGTGTAAAGAGCAAAACTTTACTTAGAACAATAAAAGCTAGGAAGTTGTGGAGAGCAATGACCACGCATGATCTGAAGGTGTCATGGTGCCTACCTAGACCGACAGAATGAACTCTTCCGAAGGATATATATACTACGCCTCTCAAGAGAGACGAACAGTATTAGAACAGTATTAGTACGGATTTGGTATTGGGACGGTAGTGAATCGAGTCGAACTGATAGCAGTCACGCCAAACCAGTCAGACAGTCTTACTAACACCTTTCACTTCTTTTGTATTACTTCTCTTGTAATATATTCTTTGTTATTTCCACTGTTGTGTTTCGTGTTGTTCTTCCATGGTCCTAACCCTGGACCATAACAGAAGGGATTTAGCACATAAAATAAGAAGTCATGAGTATAATGAACTCGTGAGATTATATCTATCTATCTATCTATCTATCTATCTATCTATCTATCTATCTATCTATCTATATTAGGTATTTATAAACCCAGCGATGGTCAGGTACTTCTTTCGAGTAAAATATTATTATTTGTATTATTGTAAGATTTGCGTTCCTCATTGGCAGCTAAAACCGGAGAATTTGTTCGCAGATGAAAAGGATAATTGAAACAACCGAAATGTGGTTCTACCGAGCAATATTGAGAATACTGCTAATTTTTGGGACACAATGAGGAAAGAACGAGTAGAGAATTTAGTACTCACAGGGCAATTCCAAAGCAAGAGTAGATAGATGCAGGAAATAAACTATTTGACACGTCTGTTCGATGGGAGATAAAATACCAGAAAATAAGATCACAAGAAAAATAAAGAACAAGAAGCTGTGGAGAGCTATTATCAGGGATGTCCAGAAAGAACACTGCAGAGTGAGTGTGTATGTGAGTGCGTGTGTGTGTGTGTTTGTGAGTGAGAGAGAGAGAAAGAGAGAGAGAAAGAGAGAGTTTGCTTTTCCATTCACTCAGGTTGGGTTTAGCAAGTTTTAGCCAATGACTGCACTCGCATTACAGAGGATCATGGGTAATTTTACGATAGAGACCGCGGTCCTATTAAGTCAAAGAATGTGGGAGACTCTGCAACATTTGGCTTAGCTCAAAGTTGCCGTAGGCTACCTGAAGCCTCAGAAGCTGGAGCCAACAGATTTTAGAACAGAAGGCGCTGGGTTTTCATCAGAGCTCTCTGCGATCTGAGATGCAGCCCTTCAGTTAGCAGTGTCGACCTGCCCTCTAGGAGTAACTCTGACATTGGATGGCGTCAACCAACGTCATTTGTCAGACAAAGATCACAGACCCGTTGCTACTTACCCACCACACCGAGTGCAAGAGAATGGCTTTAAGGCATAGCGTAAACAATAATCATAGTTAATTATTATATAATATATTAACCCCCCCAAAAAAAAAAAAAAAACTCAAAAAAACTGTTTACTAAAATTGATGCGTTTTTCAGTATTAATTATAAAAATATGACAAATGTAATTTCGTAACAAAAACACTTAATAAAAACCAATAGTACTTTCATTGAACTAAACAGTACATGTGTTTTGAATTGACTTAGGAATAATAAAATTTCATCTAAGCCAACGAGCCACTCAAGGTAGAGAGTTCCTAAATTAAATTGTTGTATGAACGTAGTAGAGAGTAAGTTAGTACTGTGATATCCAATTTAGCTCTTATGGAAAGTCTGCAAGTATGTTGTTTCTGTCATTTGTTCCAGTTATTTGTGGTTCTGTCGCATCACTCCCCGATATTCGAAGACGGTTGGTTCTTGCTATGACCTACCGGCTTCATTCAATCGGGGCCATTTTTAGTAAATGAGCAGAGAATGCAGCTGTATACAGCGGACAGTTTAGACATTTCTGTGAAAATAGATGCGATACATGTCATCCGTATAAAAGTCTCTATAGCTATTTAAGAATATGGCACTGGTTTTTAATTTAATGTTTTGGGCTCTGTAGCAACTTTCGATGATGAGGGACTACGCATAGCGCAATTTGCTTATTTTCTCTACTGAATTTATTGTAACTGCTTCCTAAACAGAAGTATTTGAAGTGTTTAGTATTTACTAATGTCACATCCTGAATTTTTATGATGAATTCAGAATATGAACCATCACTATTTTCATAAAATCGTCGGTAAATATATTAAATGAAGCTGTACCACTGAAGAGGCACGTTTGAGTAATGGATAGCGGCTCGGGTCGAGGAATCGGAGAGCCGAGTTCGAATTCCACTCGAATCAATTACATTCATTTACGTACTAATAGCATTGGGGAAGGTATGAAACCTCTTCTCCCTGCAGTTATGGGAAAATAGCAGAATACACCGGGTTCTATAGCCTTGTATGGCAGCTGGTAAACCGCAGAAAGAAATGACAACCTACTGCGGTAAAAAATCTGCCTCGTCAGTCATGTATCGAAAGATACATTATCGCCTAAGCGTATATCATGCATGGCATATAACTGACTGAATGACGTGCTAATACCCTTGAGAAAAACATGAATCCTATTTTTCTCCACTCTGCTATGGGTAAATAGCAGGACAAACCGGGTTCTATAGCCATGGATGGCAACTGGTGTACTGCAGAAAGAAATGGAAACCGACCGCGGTATCAAATCAAATGTATCGAAAGGTACATGATCGCCTAAACGTGTATCACGCATGGCATATAACTGACTGTAACACTGAATGAAGTTAATATTACTTGAACTTTTGTTAGGCACACGCTTTGTATTTTAATTTTCGTGTACATATTCTCAGATGGAGTGTATCTGTAGAAGAGATAAGATGAATAAAAAGAGACATGAGGAAAAACTATACTTAGGCGACCCGTTTCGTCCTTTGAGGGACTTTATCAACATATTTGTTGTTGTGTATGTCGAAAAATCTAAAGAAATTGGTTAAATCCACCACATCAGCCTCATACTACAACAATTTTATGACAATGCACACAATACTCATTAAAAATTGAGTAAATATTATTAGCTCACTTTACTCTTCACCAGACTTTGAATTATGAAACTTTGTGCCGTCCACATGCTTTGACTGACCTTTCAACAGCCTGATGAACATTCATGTACGTTCTCAAGTTTACAAGCGATGATAAGCCAAAATCATCCTCGCCTCCGTATATATAAACACGTGCAGCATAATAAATTCGACATTGCTCTACGACAAGCCCTCAGAGAACGAAACGTGTCGGTAAATTATAATTTTTCCTCTTGTATCTTTTTATTCCTTTTTATTTTTCATTGCAGGTTTCTGAAACGGTATTACGAATCATCGAGGATGAATAAACCATCAATAATTACAAAGAAGCAATTACCGATCAGGATTAATTACAAATAATAACGTGTGGGCAACGTAACTGTTACTGATGTGGAAAGGGGGATTGACAAACTGAGATCAAAACCCCGCTTACTGTTGCATTAACTTTCGCATATATATACCCTCGAGAAAAGCACGAATCTATCCTATATCCCACCAGTTATGAATTAAATAATAGGGTAGATTTAGGTGGAAAATTCCTGAATTCAAAACTCTGGAGAAGGCAACGGAAAACATCCCTATTATTTCAAAAAGACATAGTGATTCACAGAGAGAGAAAAAAAAACATCATGGTGTGTGTGTGTGGGGGGGCATAGTTTAAAAAACAGCAACAACAACAAAAACGTTAACATGCTTAAAAATGAAAATGCATTTTCATAAAGCAATATTTATCAATCTCGTATCAGAGAGAATTAATTTTATAGTCAGTTCGATCCACAATCATTATCTCATACATGTAACATTTTGATCCGTTAAGATATAATAATACCTCGTCGATAAGCAAGGCTTTAATGAGCAAATACACATTATTACAACACTCGGTCTCTTATATTTCAGACGTCAAGCACATACGATGCATTGGTAAAGATGTTGGAAAAAATGGTCGATTCTTTGTACCACCCCAGTAGGTACCCGACTCATCCTGCTATCCTCTATATTTACAAAAGACAGATCAGCTAGAAAATGGAGTACTGTTGCCGTATATAGGTAGGTGCTGCCTAGTCTTCACTTTCCAGTCTCGATAAAGTCCTAAAGCGTTCCTTGTGGGGGACGAATTATTTTCCACCCTACAAACCCTTTCCACACAGGCGAAAAATGTCGCTAGCCTCTCGCTGCTTTATTGCTATTTCCATCTAATTACATTCCATTGTTCCACCGGTTCTAACCTTCACGACTAGAACCCGCCATGCTACGCACAATTGTGGCGAACCACCCATTCTTCGTATTCCATTGGTGAGCAGTTTCTTCACACGAACCGCTGATTTTTGAAAACCGACACCAAAAAGAATACTTCCCCGATCACTACAATATTTACCTGAATAAACCTAGGGTCACACCGTTATCTTTACCACATAACCCCTGAATTGTACCTCTTAATCTGTAACCCCCTAACAAGAGTGGCTTTTGGGTCTTGTACAGAGTGAAATTCACTGTAAAAACGAACGAAAAAGTAGCTTTATGCCACACTGACATAGGAGGGTGCATCGACGTAGAGCACATTTTAGTAAATCAGTCTACTAGTTTAGTGCGTTGTATCCTAACTAGAGCCTTAAAATAAGAGGTTGCCTTGTCGTTGAGCAAGGTTTGGTTGGTAAGTCTCTCATTTCACAGATCATTGTCATTGTTAGTTCAATCCATACTCATATTTCTGGCAGTGTGTCAGACTAAGCCAACAAAGTTCTTCGATATAGAGCAAAGTTTAGCAAGCTAAATTTATTGACCATTGCTTCGGTAGTGAATTCGATCCTGACTTAGTATTATCTGTGTCCGTTTATCAACTTTATGAAGTGATACTTCGCCATGGAGCAAGATTACTTTTGCAGTGTGTTCGATCTTACAAAGGTTTTGTAATGTTTAATCGAATGTAACTAAATAATGTCCTGATGATGGTCATATCAGATCATTACGGCTGTGTCGAGTTGGAATCTAGTTCGGTTTTCCTTGTATTATTGTCAGATTTAAATCAAGAGGTACTTCGACATGGAGCAAGCTAATCACGTAGACACAAGCCTCTATCGCTATTTCCATGGAAAATGTTCCGACGAGCTACATTCCCTAGCTACACAAGTTCAGACAATTATAACAAAAATCCAGACGTCATATACCCAGGGGTGAACCAGCCTTCTGCCCTTCTATTTTATTGGTAAGAATGAAGTCCTATTTAGGCAGCTTCTTCCCAGTAGCCACTAGTTTATGGAACAGAATCCCGAGAAAATATTTTCTCCTACTATCTTAAGCTCTTCTAGTCTAGTGTCAGCACTTACGTATTGTACATATCCTCATAATTCAAAGAAGGATCTTCAATGTAATCGATCCTCACTTGGTATTGCAACTTCACTCACTTTCTCACATACGTGATGTGGCTTCCCTTAGTCTTTTCTATAAATATTTTCATAGCAACTGTTCTGTCAACCTTTTTCTCCCAGGTGCTCCGACTATATGAATTTAAGCGTGCTATTAGACTAGCATCTAGGTCCCACCCGTTTACCGTTGCAATAGTTAAATGTTAACCGACACTTCTACTCCAACAGCTTCTTTTGTCACACTTCCCACCTGTGGAACTCCTTTCTGTTTACTTGCTTCTCTGATAACTACAATCTTCAAAAATTTAAACGCAACGTCAATCGCTGTTTTCTGTTGTCTTGAACCCCGTTCATCTTTAATCCTTTCCTCATCCCCCCCTACACAGTCTTTTCTCTTACCTTCACTCTGTGTTACCCCCTCGAACCAGTGGCACTACTGCCTTGCTTGGGGGCGAAATGCTTAATAAAAAATCTGCATTACTTCCCACTTCTGCCGCCTACATTCATATGACACTCATTTAGTAACCCTCTACCTTGAGTGGCTCTTAGGGCTTGCGCTAGTTGCATATTTAGCAAAATAAAGACGATTAATTTTTTGTCGTGTTTGATCTTACGGTTTTGCAATTATCTAGTCGAAGATTTGTAATAAATAAAAATCCTAATAATAATCATTAAAAATATGTTAGTTGGTTTTGATTAGCGGCATATTAACCACTATCGGCTACTTAATGCCGAAATCTAAATATTTAGCACACCATTTTATTTTATTTTTTGGAGATAATAATGGTCTTAGTGATACAAGTCTAACTAATTAACCCATTGTTGGGGGGGGGAAAGACGGATTCATGCCTTCCCAAGGGTATTTGCGCGTAAGTGAATACAACGAGCCCAACTGGAATTGGAACTCGGCTCTTCGATTAATAATAACAAGCCATTATCGATTATACCCCGTTTCACATCCAATTTTTCAGCACCTGGGATTTCCAAGCGGTAACCCATCTAGGTACTCACCAGTCTCGAAGTTGCTTAACTTTGGTGATCGCTTAGGAACCGAAGTTTCAACGTGACGCGGCCGTAGACCTTAAAAATATGTCCATTCGCCAAATGTATGTCATGCCTGAAATAAATGCATGAGGCTGTGTAATTTCCAGCGGAATAGAGGAAAATATTAATATTATGGACATTAATAGCAATTACATCAATAATAATAATAATAACGATGAAGGTGACAGTTGATATCAAATCCTAATGCAAATATTGTATCGACAACAAAGAGAAACGTTCGTTGTCGGAGACAAACAAAATAGTAGTTGTTTCATTAAGATCACAAGTGAAGACCTCCAGATGAACAGAACTATTAAAACAAAGAAAGAAAGATATGGAACAGGGAAGATAATGTTTTAAAAAAAAAATAAAAAAAAATGGCGACGTGTGTACGTGTGGTGGGTTATCGTTTCGAACCGAAGCCCGCCAACCCTGACCGTTGCACTTTCCTGAAAAGAAGAGCAGGTTCAGTCTCTACGGTCTATTAATCACCAAAACAACATCAGGCACAAGAACAAGAGATCGAGTACGCATTTCGAATATTACACAAACTAATTTCATTAACATACTATCGGAGAAGGCCATTGCTTTTATCCTTTCACCGGCAACTATTCTCCAACCCTTTGTCTATCCCATCACATCAGATAAATGGGGAAATAGGCGGGGTTTTTCGGTCAAAGTGGGACCAGGCAAGGCGAGGTGAACTGCAGTCGACAACAATTTTTACGGCTATCAAGTTGAATAATACGCGTCACCACGATTAATGACAGGCTGCCTTTTAAGACTCCATCATTTTTCAATATTCCATTATTTTTTCTCCATAATTTCTCCCATGTTCATCCCAAACATTTACATTATTATTCGCCCACTGACCGCTCATATATATATATATATATATATATATATATATACCTTATTTCATTTTTGAAATTTTTTTATTGTCTGGTTTCTTTCTTTCTTTCTTTCTTTCTTTCATTTTTCTGTCTCCTAAACTTCTTAACTTTTTTCTAAATTTTTATTTTCTATTTTCTTTCCTTCTGTTTTTTTTCTTCGGTCATATCTATATATTTTTTAAAAATTCTTTTTCAATACTTTTTCTGAACACTCTTCGTCTTTTTTCATCAACTATTTCTTTTTCTTTCTTTCTTGTACAAATTTTAATATTTCGCGGGTAATTTCTTTCTTTCTTGTACACATTTTTATATTTAGCGAGCATTTTCTTTCGTTCCTCTTTTTCTATCTTTCTCTCTTTCTTTCGGTCTTCCCCGTAATTTTATTTTACCTTTTATTTTCTTCTTGTTTTCAGTCATATTCGTATTCTTTTTTTCTTTTTTAATGTTTTTTCAATACCTTCTTTTTGATTTTTTAATCATTTCTTTCTTTCTTTCTTTCTTTCTTTCTTTTCATTTTTTTTATCTTTTGTCTTTTTGTTTAATCTAAATCTGTATTTTTCTCATTTACCTTCTGTTTTTATTTTTTTATGATTTTTCTCTAAATATTCTCTCTATTTTCCATCACCTCTCTGCTTTTTGTTCCTTTGTCTCTTTTCTTTTCACCTCTAACCTCCGTATTTCCACGCCCATCTTCTTTCTCATTCCCTATTTGCGTGTTTTACAAATAATAATTTGTCATCCAGCCTCTCCGTTAACAGAACAGATTCCCTAATTACATTCATTTTACTTCACCTTTTGCTCACAGGCTGTTGTTTACTCACAATGAACACATTAGGGCCGCTTATATCCTTTACAAACCAAACCCACTTACCCCATTTTTAATGTCAGATACGGAAAATGTTTCAGGGTCGTTAATAAAAACAAGTCATGGCCTCACAACCATCAGGCTTATTTCTCTTGCTTTTTACTCGTTCTGCGTTAACATTTTTTCCTGATAGCCATACGAACAGTCGACTGTACACGCACACATGCAAATACATGACCACATCTTTAGTGAGTTTATTGATAGTCGAATTACAGCGCAAAATGGAGAGAAAAATGACAACTTTTTTCCTTGATGATCTGCCCGCTTTCAAAATCCACATTCGAAATTTTAAGTTTTTTTTCTGGACGTGAACACCGGCCACGGGTATACTCGACTAGCTCTGCTACACACACACACACACACACTTATATATATATATATGTGTATGTGTGTGTGTATGTGTGTGTGTATGTATGTGTGTGTATAATGGTTATGATTTTTTGACTTTTTGTAAATTAATTAATTCCCCGTATCAAAATTTGATGAACTTTTGTTAAAATAGTGAAAAACGGTTTAATTCAGTTTATTTTTTAATGTCACACTGAAACCAAAATTTCTGAACTGATATATGCATATAGTACTACAATGACATTCTAGAACTTTCTTGAGCCTTCTAGAACTTTATGGTACCTAGCAAAACTTCATGAAAATTTATGACCTGCATTTCGTGGGTGGGACTATATAAGCGTGAACGCTGATTGGGTTGTCATTAGATATGCTGAATGGGAAAATCGTGTTGTGTTTTTGATCAAATTTGTTTTTGCTTCAGACTATATAAACTTCCTGTGTGAGCAACGATTATTGATTGGCTGAAAGATCACCAAATAGTCATTTTTAACCATCTCAGAAAAAGTGATTCTGCCACTGAAAGAAGCAGGAAGATCTGGACGAAGAATCTCATAAGATTTCAAGAATTACATAATAAAAGAAGAACTGTTCTATTAGAAGAACAATCACTGGAAAAAATAAAAACAAAAAACAAGATACTACTCAGAATCCAAATTGTTGCTCGCTATCTGTTCCTTGGAGCAATCATCAAAGGAAGGAAAGAATGTATAAACGGAATCGCTAAAGAAGTAACAAGTTTATGGCAAAAGAAATTACCGTATTTGACAGCATATAAGACTCACGGATGTATAAGACGCACGGGTGTATAAGACGCAACTCAATTTCAGCAGGGCAAATCAAGAAAAAAATTAGTAATTAGTAAAATTAGTAAACCTACATATGGCATATAAGACGCAGGGGAATTTTGAAAGATATTTTAGTAAAAAAAAGTGCGCCTTGTATGCCGTCAAATACGGTAAATATCCCAAATTTATCAGCTCAAGACATACAAGAAAAACTTGATCAAGTGCTGAACACCTATGATGAATGTGTGAAATGAGGAAAATATGATCCATTGAATTAAATTTTTCTACTGCACAAAAGAAAATTTTGAATGGCTTTGTAGTGAGGAAAGGCATTTATATCATCTTCAGATTGAAAGCAAAGAACATGTATATACAACTTAAGAGACTACGATTTCCAAAACTATTTATCCATGCAAAAGAAGAAAAGTAACCTTGGGGTGAACTTCAAAAATAGTAACAATTTCAATTTCGAAATCAGATAGTGAATATGAAGAGTCACCATGAAAAGGAAGAAGTATTTGTTGTGGCCTTGTTAGGACCAGAAATAAAGACACAAAGAGAGGAATTGAGTTAAACAAATATATTAACGGAAACAGTAATACAAACATATACAAACGAGAGTGTTTGGTCCGACTGGACACTGCTGACTGCTGGTAACATCCCTCTCTAAAAGGCAGTGCCTGCTCCTATTTACAGCTGGAAGAGTCCATGCGTGCGTGTCTAAATTACTATAACAGTATTGTAAATCCGAATCTGTAACCAAATTTGTAACATCTTTAGACTTATTATCCAGCAAAGCAGAAAATATTAGCAGTTATCTCAAGAATGGAATGACATTAAGACATCTTCTCAATCTGATATTTACAGATCCGCTGTTAAAGAAGCTTTTAAAGTTAAAGAAGAAATGAAGCAAACACTACACATAGAAAATTGGTCATTGCCTTTTAATGGTAGATGAAGTGATGGCCAAGAATATCAAGTGCTTTTTTTGAAGAGTTAAAGAAGAGAAGTTGAGTTAGAAGCATTACATCTACCAAATGAAAAAGTGTATAGTGTTGTCAAAGGAACAACAGCTGTTCTGCATGAATACACTTTGTAGAATGCCAAAAAGATGATTGTTGAGGACAATACGAATACGAACACTGGAAGCAGGATTGGGGTTTTTCGTTCAGTTACAAAGACTATTTGCCCAAAAGACACTGGAAGAACCACAATTCCTTGGCTGTCAACATCATGTTCTTGACCATGTGCTTTGCGTAGTAATGGATGACAAACTTGCAGGAAAGAACACATCACCCAATAAACGAATATCCGTTTATCCGGGAACTTGTAAATAACTACGAACACTTTAAGAAGAACTTCAAGAATAGTAAAGAGATTACTGAAACAGCAGGATTACATGATGCTATGAAATTTGTTTCATTTAACTCGAATTTTCCGAAGAAACTGGAAGATTTCCGAAAGTGAAGTTTCATAAAATGCCTAAGTTAAGAAATACAATATCTAATTCTAGGGCTATACAAGTTCTTTCGGTATTTGTTCTTCTACCGGAGAAAAGAGATCCGCGACTCGAAATTTGTAGATTCATCTCTTAAAGATGGGTGAACCAATGCGGGTGATTAACAAAAGCTATGGAGCAGGCTGAGAACCCCCCAAAAAAAAACAACAAAAAACAAACAAACAAAAAACATTTACACACACACACATCTATCTATCTATCTATCGTTAATTGTATTTAAATACCTAGCTAACCAGTTACCTATCTACTCACCTACCTAGCTATCTATCTGCATTACATTCTGATAATATATATGCATATATGAATGCATGTATGTTTGTATGTATTTTAATGTCCCTAAACACACACACACAAACACACACACACACACACACACATATATATATATATATTACTTTCATTGTATTCAAATATCTATCTATCTATCTATCTATCTATCTATCTATCTACCTGTCTGTCTGTCTGTCTGTGCATATCTATCTATCTTTTATAAAATACTGAAGAATGATGACTGAACAACATTTTTTTAGAATTTTCGCATTAACTTTAACTACTTAAATATATATTTATATATATTTCAATAAAAATATATTATTGAAGGTTGTTTTATTTTGGGTTTTAAAAAAGAGTAATTTAAAAAAAAAATGCTGAAGTTTAAAAGATTTAGGAAATAAATGAATTCAGTAATCTCTTTTATCAAATCTATAACAGAATAATTACTCTAATTAAAGTGCCGCTAAATCATTGAACAGCGTTTTCAGTCAATTTTAACTAATTGCTTAAGTATATGCGATTAATGTAAATTCTTGACAAATTGCCAATAAATATTATCATTAATTGATCATTATAAGTATATTCATTAACGATTCAATGAAAAATATATCAATAAAACAATAAAGACAGAGGTAAAAAAATCATTCACCGAATGTTTTAATCGAAGTTTTATCAATGATAAAGGTTTCTGCATTTTTCAGTTGATACAATGCTTTATCTCTGACGATAAAATGTCTCATCTCAGCTGAACACAAATACATGATTTCTTTTATGAGCAGAATAAGTTTCTAACCACTGATCAAGTTGCTTACTTTTTCCACAAGAATACGTACACAATTTTGTTTATTCTTATGTATTAGTAATCGATTTGCTTATTCGTAAAAATTAGAACCCAATTTACTTATTCTCAAGAATTATAAATCACTTTATGTTGTAGCATACCTACAGACGACAATGTGTATGTCCCCATTCACATAAATACAGTAGTAAATACTGTAAGTTGGTCTGCAGTTAGAGATTCGTCTCCAGCTGTGCTGATCAAACTCTTTGCTTCCGGGCAGAGAGGATCCACAGACGAGGCTATGTCGAAGTGCAGAATCTCGTTTCGTGAAACAGCTACCCGACCGCGTTTTATACCCCACATTAAATTCGGCCTTGTGCCACGTCTGACCACGATGGGCGATTGGTAGATATCCTGCAATTGGAGATTCATTGTGAAATTCACTTGAATTACTTCTAGCAGTTGAATACTTCCTCTACTCGACGCTGGCAAATCTTATATGAGTTGTTCTTGTCCAAAGTATTATTGTTCATTACCAGTCTTCGTTTGATTATTCTATTCAGTAATAGGTTACAACACTTTGCTTATTCTCAAGAATTATTACACAATTTTCTCATTTTCAAGAATTTGTACTTAATTTGTTTGTACTCACAAATTAGTACTTAATTTTCTTATTCTTAGAAATTAGTACTCAATTTGCTTATTCTCGAGAATTACTACTCATTTTGCTTATTCTCAAGAAGTAGTACCCAATTTGCTTAAATCTCAAGAATTAGTACTCAATTTGCCGTTTGTTTTTTATCAATGTTAACTTAATACAAGGTCCAAGAGCCACTCAAGTTAGAGGGTTATTCTGTAGACTTATCTTAATGTAGGAAAGAAGAAATAATAGGAGTATATAGCTGAAGCAGACTTTTGAAGGAACCGGTAAACCAACCTTAAATAAGAAACAAGGGATAAACATCTACTCTAGTTC